GAGGGGTTAATAAGTGAGCCTGCTCAGCCAGACGGTGGTGCAGGTAACCCCAGAACACATTAGGAGCGAAAACCCGGGTTAGGGTTAGGGACGGATCCTGACAGTCAAAAGGAAACTGCAGGTTATCGGGGAGAACATTATTAGCATTTCCCACTAGAGGGCAGACTAACATAATGAATGGTTATTTCTACTGTTGCTCCTCAGTCTTCAGACTGTAATTTGTTATATTGTTTAATGATTGCCGGGCTCTATGTGTGTGGACTTTGCATGTTCTCCCTGTGTGGTTAAGGGGGTTCCTATGAGTTCTCCAATTTCCCCCACTGTCCAATATTTTTTTTCATATTGCCACATTTTGAAGTGTACATATATAGAATTTTTCATTATAACTGGTGGAGTGAAATATCAAGATGATTTTATGTGATTTTTTAAGTAGCTGTAGAAATATTTGACTCACTTTACTCATAATTAACACAACATATAATTTATGTACAAAACTAACTGGACTGAGCTTACAATATGTGTATTTTTCTGCAAATATAACACCCAAACAAAAATATCATATTTCAGTAATGTCTCAGGTTAGGTTTAACAGCTGTGCAATATATTTTCACCCTGTCCATGGCTCATACATATCAGTGCATCCATCTGCGCTGCTGTACAAACACACCTGGCTTTACTTTGTTCACCGTAGTCCCAGGCACACGACACAATGTTATTAACATACACACTCTGTGTATCTTCACGCAGTTACACCTGGCAGCCTTTCTGGTGCATGAAATGAAATTAATTATGCAGGATTAATGCTGGGGAGGGGTGTGGTGGTCAGAGCAGCGTTAGTCTCCTCTATGGCTCTGTGTGTGTGGAGTTTGCATGCTGTCCCAGTGTCACAGTGGGGTTTCCTCCCGGTACTATGCACTCCCACCCCCCAAAGTCCAAAACTTACTAATGTTAAAACTGGAATGTGCTCTGCGATGGGTCGGCACCCCATCCTGGGTCGCTTGCTGCTTTGGGCCTGTAGCTTGTGGGATAGACACCCCCATGACCCTGAATTGAAAAAGTGGGTTCAGAAAATGGATGGATGGATGGATGGATGGATGGGTGGGTTACTGCTAAACCATCACACAATTTGCTCGCTCACAATGCTGTTGCAAGCTTGAGCAAAGCAGCAAAATAACTATTAAGCTAAATGACTTTTCTTATTGAGAACCTCCATTGTATAAATGTGAAAAGTGTGAGAATCTTGTACCCAGCAGAATATCTGCATTAACACCAAAGCTTCTTTCTCCGTCTCTATGAGACTCTGATCTGCCTGTCATGAGAAGGTTTTAGATGTTTCTCCTCTGCCGGTGACAGCTGGATCACCAGTCACAGTGCGGAGGGACAGAAAAAAGGCTCCAGTCAAATAATGTGACACAAGGCACATAGTGACACTGTCTCTAACAATAACCAGAGTCTTTGGTGTGGGGTCTGTGAATTTAAAGAGTCATTTTGTGAGTCTTTAAATATTTGCTTGATAGAATAGTGGGAGGGTTGAATCAGTGACTAGAACATGAATTGCTACTTTAATTGAGCCTAAGATAGGAGTCTATGCACACCTCTGCAGATAAGCAGCTACACACCTATAACCAGCATAAATATAGATAATAGGCACTTCAAATATCTCTGTGGGTAAACTGGGCAGTTTTTACACATCTCATCCTGAAAGACATATATGTACAGTATATAAATACAGGTATATATACACTAGGGCTGTGACGATGAGGAAATTTCCCCACCGGTTAATGGACATGTGACAACACCGGTAATACCGGTATCACCGTGGGGGTGGGGGTTTCCTCTTTTTTCCTGCTTTTAAATAGCTTATAAATGCGTGCGTATTATACTTTCACTTTTAATTTTGCGGGAATTGGCAATTCGGCGTCAATTGTTTGAATGGACGACAACGAAACTAAAAAAAAAATATCACTGATATTAAACAGAACTTTTATTAACATAACACAA